AAAAAATATTGCTAACGTGGTTCGGAGAAAAGGTTGTGAAATGAAGCCATGCCGATTGATGATCGTCGTCTATATGTGTATTATTAGTTTACTCGGACTAACAAAACAATTGTAGACCTCTCCATTCGATCAACCGTCAAAATCATATACCTCGACTGTAAACCTTGAAACTACTGTTGACCTCGACCTTCGGTCTCTGTCAACAGTATTTTTTCGGTTTACAGTCTCGGTATACAATTTTGCCGGTTGGCCTCTGGGGAGGTCAACAATTGTAAACTGTTGACCACTACTAGGTACTGTTGACCCCTATTTTTGAAAATTTTTTTTTTTAATGTTGAAATTTTTTTAATTTTGAAAAAATAAGTTGTGTAAAAAATTACAAGTATTCGACGGTTTGGGGATTTTTTGCTAAAATATGATACCTTTACTTATCAAATATGTTCACGTGATATTCGATTATATATTCGTCCAATTATTATATTATTTGGACTAACAGAACAATTGTTAACCTCTCTTTTCGGTCAACTGGCAAAAGTGTCCTCGGCCTCTGGTCTTGATCAACAGTACTTTCAAGGTTTACAGTATCGGTATACAATTTTGCCAGTTGACCTCAAGAGGGGTCTACAATTGTATATTGTATATTATGAGGTTATATAATGGTTCTTTCTGTATATCGTGTTTATACTCGAGTGAGTATATGATATATTCACAAGTGAGCGTAGCGAACGAGTGAATATATTATATTCTCACGAGAGTATAAAATGCACGATATACAGAATGAACCATTATATGTCATATATCAAGTTGAAGAGTTGTATACGCTGCTCAGGAGTTGTACATCGTTCTCAAGAGTTGTATAGGATGAGCGTTGGTTTAATGATATTGCAGTTATACAATGCTATTATATAAAAGGTATTTACTGAGAGGGATTCAATATTGGTTTTATTTCGAGAGACAATATGATATTTCCCGAGGGCCCGGGATATCTGGGATAACTGTACCCCTATCAATTTACCTTTTTGGGCCCTAAATCTTATCACTTTTGTTTACCTTTTTACTCAGTCGGAGAGAAGGAATCCAAAGAGAGCAATAATTCTACATGTGCGTCGTGCAAGATTTCCATTAAACGTGTAACTAAACGGGCTCTCTAATAAAGTCAATTAGACGTTTTTACACGTTGGCTCTCCAAATTGTAGGAAATAAAGAATCATGTCATATTATATCATAGATGAAGCAATCATCCCATCAACATAAGCTCACGAATGTCACAGTTAAACTGTTTTAGTTATAATTTGATAAACAGTGGTAGCGTACATCTACTAGTTTATCACTGTTCCACAGAAGGATGACAGATAATATCATGATAATATCCAATAGCTCATCATGTTTACCGAGAACGAAAGATATTTGTCCACCATTTTGAATGATACTAACTGGAGCCAGGGTCATCAAGCTATGGAACAGTGGTTTATGAAAATAGATTGGGTTACTAAAGCTTGCCATGTTAAAAGCGATTGAACTATGTTATAGAATAACGTCCAGTACATTATAATATGTAAAAGTATAAATTTTTTAAAATATATATAAAGATCTTCGCCCGCAGGACGTGTATTTTGAATGCCTTGAGAAGAACGCAAATATGGGTAGGCTAATTGGTAACGGTATTGCAATAGTAGCATTTAAAAATCTGTTCCTCTCGAGATGAAATTATACTATTAATTGGTGTTGCTGCATCATTGCTCAAATCTAGAGGAGTGTTGTTGCATCTTCGGTTTGGTGTTGTTGCATCAATAGTGAGGAACTAAAACCGTGAACTTATTGCTTCTTGGTGATGGTATATGTATATTAATGACAGTTTCTTTAAATATAGATCGTGCGCTAACTGTACGTGTATGGTTATTGAGCAACTTGTCCTAGAAATGGTTTTAATTGGGGAAACAAAATATCGTACGAAAATCTATCACCGGAAGTCTGGCCATCTTGATGCAACAACACGGTGTTGTTGCATCACGATACTCCCCAGTGGTTTTGATTGGTCAATCAGCCTGAAGTCACACGTCGTGTCCACGCGTATATCTGTTCAGTGGCGTAGCCAGGATTTGGTGACCGGGGGTTCTATTTTTATGTTATTCACAAATCCACCCCTCCATTGCCTGGTTCCTCAAATAATGCAATTTGTACAATTACACCCCCTCCAAAAGTTTGGCAATCCTAACTAACCCATTGGATTATGTATTAAAAGCATCTTCAAGTTTGAATTCTTATTTGTAAAGAAAAAAACTATTTTGGAAGGGGAAATATAATTCATTTTAATTCCTTCATTAAGTTAAGTAGACAATTGAATTTGAATTTTGTTTAACAAAAACGATGTCTTTATTTACGTTAAGCAAAGTCTGAAAGTAATAGGCTTTATCAAGAAACCTTTCCCATTGAAATAACACAGGACATAAAAATGATTTTCAAAAATGACCTTGTAGCTTTGTAACTTTAATGTTCACAAAGGAAAATAAACAGGCAACGTGCAAAATAGTCAGACAACTTATAATTAATTTTCTGCATCAAAATATATTTCGGCGAGTCTTTTACTGAATACATATCCTGAAATCTGATTTGCCCCGAATCCACCATTATTTCGTCTGATTTCTGGAAGATTCTGGAGCATGATTTGTTTCCAAGGTATATCAACTATTTCGCACAATTTATTCTTTAACTTCTTCTAGCTATTTCTTCTAGGACAAAATAAATCACCTCATGCAATAGCTTGTCTTAATATTTTTTCAGGAATTTTGTCCAGTTCGGATCAAATGCAAACACCCTATACTCCGAAAGATCGTTCTTCTACGACAACTTTTCACAACGTTTACACGAAGGCTTTTTAAACTATCCGGGATAGTCGTATTACTGATGAAAACATCTATTATTCAAATAAGTGGGACTCGGTTATGCTTTGTTTTAAAAAGTTAAAAATATTTCTTTGGACGTCCCCGGAGCTCAGTGGTAAGTCCCCCGGAGTAGATCGATCAACTGCAATTGATAATAAAAACGTTTTGGTGGATATAAATCATATATAAAATTCAAGCGACCGTTCGAATATAAAACGTATTTTGTTAAGTTCAGACGACTTGATAACAAATTAGGCCTTCACTATTTGAAGATTAATACCATATGATTGTTTTATTATGTAATTTATTCGCTAAACATATCATGACATTAACATGAAAATGGAGAGCAGTTAAACTGGAACGATAACAATTTGAATTCTATACCATCTCTTAGATGAGTGGAGTGTATCTGAAAAACGAATCATTTTTGCAATGATTGATTTTTCTTTGGAAAAGTGATTGGTTAATTATAAATACTGAACAAATGAAAGAATGAATAAATCGAACAAATGCTTGTGTTTAAAAATGATATACGCTTTTAAATAATTCATTTCACAACGTTTTCATAAGTATTTAAGTCAATTGGTTTCGGGGACTTGCCAGCCCAAGGGACGTCCCAAGAAACATTTTAAATTTTATTTGAAATAAATGAAAACAGAGCTGTACACATTTGAAAGAACATGTGACTATTCCAGATATTTATTCGTCAATGTTGTAAAAGTCCCCAAAACCAATTGCGTTAAATGATTAAAAACGTTGTGAAATGAATTATTTAAAAGCATCATTTTAACTTTCAATAACTTCGTATTGGACCAGAACTGGCTTAAAACAAAATTCCTACAAAGGAGTGATTTAGCCATTGGACAAGATGGGTTATTTTGTCCGCGAAGAAGCAGCTTTTAAATTAATTGTGCGAAATTATTGTTATTTCTAAATGTTAAATCGCATGCTCTTGGGTCTTCCCAAAATTTCATCCCGTGCCTAAGGTTGCCAACCGTTTTGAGGGAAGTGTAACTTATGACATGTTTTTAACAAAATAAGGCTCTCGTGTTCACCAAAACAAACATCAATTCATTTACTGCTCATATATGTAGTTTTCAAATAGCACAGTGATTTATTGTTTCTGGTTATATTCATTTTCCGCAAAATGATATTTTTGGAAATCCTGACCAGGGGTTCGTTCGAACCCATCGAACCCCCGCTGCCTACGGCTATGCTGTTAATCAATAAGGTTTCGCGATACCCCTGATAGCGTAGGTATTATGGAAATCTGGAAACCGTTGAATATCTCAGCATAATAGCAGCGGAGATGTATTGGATTGTACAAGGCGGTAATAATTCAAGATCAGATAAGTAAAAAATACCGACTTGGGCAAGGCTACTTATTATACACAAATAGAAGATCCCGAAACTTCACCCATAAATGTGGAATTGATTTGTCAAAATAAAAATCACCCTTTTATAAATGTGTGACGATCTACAATATACTTATGCTATATAACAGTTAGAGGTGTTGACACAACGACCTCGAACCTGTGAACCCTTGAGTATTATTCCGGGATCGGGCCTTTTATACTAAACGGTGAGCAACACCAGAAACGAGCGTTCGATTTGCTAAACGATATGCGTCACCCTTTAACCAATCTATTTTACTATAAGATCTAATAATATAATGGTGATGTGATATGCTTTGATCTGTCCTGATGCATCTATCGAAAAAGCATGATAAACCAATAAAAACAGTGCATCCACCCCTCCCAAAAAAAGTGAATGCATCCCAGTAATTGAAATAACACAGAATACAAATGCACATTTAGTTCAACAAGTTAAATAACCAATTTCCAACTTCTATTATTAATCTGAATTTTTTGGAGCTATTTTTGGGCCCAAGAGATGTCACTGAGAAATAAGGCCCAGACTCACTAATGCACATTTAGCCCTTTGGTTGAATAGTAACATTTGAAGAAACATGGGAATGTTTACTGAATACTATGGCCAATAGATCAAAGATCTTTTCCTTGATGAAAGGATATATAAATTGTAAATGTAAATGAAGAGCAGCAAGCTATTCCCCGGGGATTTCAACACTAATAAGATAACGTTTCGCTCAGTGTAATTCATATATTATCGCCCAATCCACGTAAATATACTTTTGAAAACACTGCTTTATATTACGTTTTGTGCATAATCTACGACTCCTGGTGCAGCAGTAATACAGGTAAAGTAACTTTGCATATATGAGATTGCCGCCATGTCTCTTTGAATTACATCTATTATATTAAAATGCGATTTGAAAGAAATGGGAATCTTCATAATTTTTTTTTCTAAAAACAACAACAAGAAAATTGTCTGTTACTGTAAGCCTAGCTACATGAGCTACTGGATAATCAAATAACTAAAATGTATCCTCTGTAATTCCTTGAAGTCACTCATGATTAAATTCCTCTTCAGAATACAGTCACACAATGAGGTTAGTCCAACCCGTGTCACCACATTATTCTCCTTCATTCAAGCCTATCCAATGCCGTTACACACAAAATATGATTAGGTTGAGTTAAAGGAGAGTAGTGTCAACACAAAGGAGAGCTTTGTTGCGGGAAATATTAAATCTATTTTATGTAGAAAAATTACTGTAAGAAGATTGGTTGAAAAATAAGAGAAAGAAAAACAACTCACATAGGCGTAGCCTCCCCCTTACCAAACCTGTCTGGCCCAGTTATCTACTCTACGACAATTCAGAATCGGGAGTAGATTACTGGGCCAGACGGGTTTGGTTACCTCCCCCCCTAACCAATAAAATAAAAACATGAGATAGAACAAGGAAAGCGCTTTAAAATGCTTTTTATTTGAAGCTTCTAGCTCAATTTTGAAGGAAGTTGCATAAATTTTTGTAAAATTCAACACAAATCTTATTTTTGGCTTGTTTATGCCACAATCGCACCCCTCTGACTGAAAACCAAAACATTTTTGGCAATCCCACCCCCTATCTGAAAGCTGGCTCCCCCCCTGACGCACATGCACAGAAAAATGCTTCTGATCATAAAAAATACATTTTCAAATTATACGATTAACCTCTTGACTACCTAGATTGACAAGATTTCTTGACACCTCAGAAATGACCTTGAAACCCAGAGTGACGTTCTATAATACATCACAATTTTTTTTACTAAATTGCTTGCTCTTATTTGGATAATTTTTATCTAATTTACACAAAAATTGTTTAAAAAGTGTAGAAATGATATCTGCCGTCTACTTTTATTAAAATGAGCATCACCTGTTGTGTATGTATGGAGTGGCAAAAATGAAAAATTATCTGGTTTCTATCAATTTTAGAATCTGGGATTCAAGAGATTAAAACCAAAGATTCAGAACTACTAATAAAACATAACAGGTTCAACTATAGGCCAATAATGTACTTTATTTTGTAAGTTAAGCTTAGGCCTACTGTACATGTAGATACACTTATTTTGACGCTACTTAATTTGATGGATTTGGTCAATTACAAATATTGGCCGCTAATTGATTTGGCAGATTCAGGACTGAATTGTTTAATTTTTGTTTATGTCATTAGGACAGGCATTTAAAAAGATACTTTCTGTATTTATTTTGGAATACTGTAGAATTGATGACATGTTGACAGGAGAAGGGGGCCCAGAATTTCTGAAGTGCATTGGACGAAAATCCCAAACTGAAATTTGACGGAATTTTAATTTTGTGGATTTTCTGAATCTACCAATCTGTCAAATTAAAACGGGAGCCAAATTAAGTGCATCTACAGTATTCAGAAAGATTTGTAAAAATGCTATACATTCTGATATATAAATGTCAGAAATGAAATAAATTGGTTGGAAATAAATAGTTTTTTTACTACATCAAGGTGTCAAAAAAGTGTTTTACAGTATATAGTTGAGATGATAAAATTTTATTCTAAAAATTCAGACCTTTGATGTTAGATGACGTAAGATTCAAATTTTTGAAAATAAGATACTAATAACATTTTTTAACTTATTAAACTTATGACATATACTGTTTGGATTGATTGAAACAATTCACTTAAAGAGAACATATGTTTTTGATAACTGATGGCAAGTTACCTTAGTGTTAACCAGATATATTGATTATACCAGTACATTGTATATATTTATAAATGCTGTACTGAAGATAATTTAAAACACATTTTCATTGCAGATTTTCCACAATATATTGTAGCAGCTTAAAGTACGAGATATAGGATTGCTTCGAAGCCAAGTACTTATTTGATTAGACAACTTGCATTCCAATATGTGGTCTGTCATGAACAATGAGATTTGTGGCCAGTCATGAGACATTTGGAGTTAAATGACAAATCAGTGTTCAGTTAGGAAAAGATGAGAATACACAAGTTAAAACTTCTATTCTTTTCAATAGTAATTTTTATTTTATATATTTCTTATAAAATCCTACAACCAGAAATAAAGGAGAATCGTGGCAGAAGAGAACTTGTCGGGGATGAGGACTACATAAATGTTGATACTCGAAACAATAACAAAAGAGATGATATTTTAAAGGTAGATAGTAATAAAAATGACAGAGTTATACCTCCAACTCGGCCTGAGTTTGGTCATGTGGTGGAAAGCCAGGAAAAAATTGACGAAACTCATTTGAGAAATAGTCAAGAAAAAGAAGAAATCAATCCAAGATTTGGTCATAATATTGATCCAGGTTTGCACCAAGTACATCATGACATTAAAAGTGACCATGATACAAATCAAGATATAAACCCACGATTTGGTCATGCCGTCTTAGAAAATGATGATGACTATCCTTTAGGGGCCAAGGATCATAATGACAATAACCCTAACAATATTAAGGGTGAGATGGTCGCAGATCAGCAAAAACTTCTACGTAAACTATTAGGAACTTATGATATTGATGTCGGGGTTGAATTAGATCAGGGAATATCACCATGGAGATTTGCTGCCAGACTTGTGACGTCACGACAGATACACCCAGATAACTTCCCCGAACTAGGTAAGTATCTAATTGACACTTTTTAGATTTTATTTTATTTTACCTATTTTTAAGTGGAGTTCATATTTCCTTCTCCAATCAATGATATGGTCCATAAGACAATTGAGATATTTTAGATGATGACGATTTTCATTTTGTCCTGAAGATTTTAGAGAAAGTAAAATACACAAAACAAAATCTTATCATTAGATCATGGTTTGGGATAGTGTGGGTTTGTTTTCCTCATGATGTACTTTTGATGTTTTCGTTATCTTGCTGTGTTCTGTAACAATTTTCTCTTAGGCTGCATACATATTCATAAGATATTTAAACTAAAATAATTAAAATATTTATAGAATTTCATGTCTTCTGTCTATGACGTTCATATCCAGCTGTTACCACCAGGCAAACACTTAGAAATGCGTAATAGAACTGAAATGGTCAATTCCTCAAATAGCCAGCTTCAATTATTAGTGTGTTTCTAACTATATATAATTGATAGTAGCATCTACTGTACATCTGTACAATTACATGTTATATGATGGAACACAGATTTTCTGTCTTCTGGTTAATACAATGAAAATATATATTATTGAATATTGATGAGGGTAATCTTCTTGAAACACGAGGGTCATTTCGTCTAATATTGATGTGCTAAAACCATTTCTGCTAAAACCATTGATTTGATGTGTTAAAACCATTCTTGCTAAAACCATTGATTTGCCAATTACATGACCACAGTTCTTCCCCATTTCGTACTCTATTCCAATGGCTCTCTGATGGTAGAAAGCAAATAGGACTTTCATGTATCTAATCTAATCTTAGCTGACGTGTATGGTTAAAGCGATGGGTTATGGTGATGATTTATCAAATTCAGTATTAGATGAATTGATGGAATGATGCTGTATCTTAAGTTTTCCCTCGTGAGTTCAGATTAATCAAGATGAATGTCTGATTCAAGATTGCTAATTGCTTTGTGTATATGGATGCCAACGTTTTCAGATGTTTTAGATTTGAAACATCTGATGCCTGATTAAATGTCATCATCATCTTTGTATTGAGGAGAGATTTTAAGTTACTTTAAATTTGTCCGATAGCTATTTTGACTTGAGTATCAAGACCACCTGTTAATGCCTTCCCCCCTGGTAAAATCACCTCGCCCCCCCCCCCTTGATAAAAGCTGGCTATGGGCCTATAAAGGAATAAACAATTTTTATGAATATTTCTAGGTGCAATATTACATGAAATGTCTACTAGAAGGATTCTAGCAGCTGACGTTGGCTACAAAGGGACTCAACTGAAACTTTCATTATTACTAGAGGGTGGTCAGAAAGTGGCTTTTAAACCAAAGTGGTAAGCCAAGTATACATTTCTCTACTTCAATTATGACTTTTATATGTTAATTTTCCACTTTTGTATAAAACATCTGAGTCTGCTCCATGAGGACGCTGTAGTACGGATTATGTTAATTGGATCACATTTTAGGCACTATCGTTTAATGATTCAAGATCACTTCCCTTAGTCCCATTTATACTCTAAAAGGTCTGCTTTGTTTTTAAATCAGGATGGATATTAATGTTATAGATTATAAGCCGAATAAATATAGGTTATTTACTGGGAGGGATTGAATATGGGTTTTATTCCGAGGGACAATATGATATTGACCGAAGGGTAATATGATATTGACCGAGGGAGCGCAGCGACCGAGTGTCAATATCATATAGCCAAGGTCAATATCATATTTTCTGAGGAATAAAACCCATATTCAATCCCGAACAGAAATAACCTATTTATTCCATAATACACCGGTCTAAAATGCTACATTTGGATAATGCAAATAACCGGGAAAAAATAACCGGGAAACCGAAAATAGGTTAATATGCTCCAATACGATTTTTTCCGGGGACAATACGATTTTTTCATGTAATACGCTCCAATACGATTTTTTCCGGGGGACAATACGATTTTTTCATGTAATACGATTCAATACGATTTTTATTCCTTCATATTTCCCTGGGAAAACAGTAGTATTATGGAATAAATAGTGAGATCGCCTTTGAGACTTTCCCATAACAGCATAAAGAAAATGGTAAATCTGCCCTCATTCCACCAATGAAGATGCATTTTCTGTTTCTATTATGTATCTAATATGGAAATACACATATTTCTGCATTCTAACTATTGATGGTCCTGATTGGCCCATTTCTATAAATTTTCCTTTTCAAACTAGCTTTCAATTCTTTCTTCCCAGGTTCTCTCGGGACCATGTTATTGTGGGGCAACCATATGATGGTGCTGATCGACACAATGGAGAAATAGCAGCCTTCCATCTTAATAGGTAAAGTATGTTATTGTTGCAGGCCCGTAGCTAGGGGGGTTCGCTGGGTTTCAGCGAATCCCCCCTGGCCAAAAAATCTATCAAAATCATGCAGTTTTTCACCATTCCGAGCACTTTTTAAGTGATTTTGGCCATTTTTGGACCAAAATTGTCACAAGTGAACCCCCCCTGGAATTTTTCAAAAAGTGAACCCCCCTTGGCAAATCCTGGCTACGGGCATGTTGTTGCCATGGTAACCTGAGAAAATCCGCTTTAACATTTGTGAACAAATGCTATTTTGATATAGCTCCTTATCATTTAAATCAAACAGTTAATTGAGCACAAATTAGTTGAATTATTTGCATATTCACATTTATCTCATGCAGGTACACGCATCATAATGTATTCATTAACAAGATATATCAGATATTTGCATCAGGTAATTGATTAATTTTTGAAATATGTGGGAAGAAGCATCAGATAGAAGGGATGCCACTGAATATCAAATTGTGACCTAATTTTCAGCCCAATCCACCTCAAATAATTCTGCTAATTCTATTTTAAGTTTGCCATAAAGGAGTGTTGTTATTTCCTTACATTTACCATTAAACCATGATTCAATTGAGAGTGAGGGAGGATATGACTTTTATTCTTTTTGTAGATTATTGGGTTTCAACAGATCTCCTCTTGCAGTAGGACGAGTGGTTAACTTAGAGAAAGAGATAAAACCTGTTGCCTCTGAACGTTTGCTCAACACATTTTTTTACAAAGGTAAATCAATTATGTCTTATCATTGATCAACTTGAATAAATACCTTGAAATATTAATGTTCCCTTTGATATTTGATATTGACCTTTTCCTTTGTGATGAAACATTTTTGAAATATTATTCCACCTTGATGTTAATCTAAAGGTATTGTATCATATTATGTTTGATGTTGCCCATTTTTGAATTGCCCATGTTTAAATAAATTGTTTAATTCAATTACTAATTTTCAGATAAAAAATGTTTGATGAACCAAGCTACTTATTTTCAGGCACAATTCAGGTAATTGTAAATGTTTCTTTAAAAGTTGTTAAACTGGAACACTTTATCTTCATTTCAGATAAAAACACATGTTTCTATGGGAAGTGCCTGTACTGCAGGGGTGAGCAAGATGGTGTCTGTGGTGAGGGGGCATCACTCGAGGGCACTATAGTCCTATGGTTGGATTCAAAATGGAAGTTTGGTAAACATATACGTCACCCCTGGCAAAGAACTTACAAGGATGGGATACAAGCAAGGTTAGTGTTATCTCATATGACTAACCAAGATACAGCCATCTTTACCCCATGCAAGATATTACCATCTTTCATCCTAAAAAGTCACACGTGCAAGATGAGATTTACTTATGACATCACTGATTTATAAACATCATCAACATGACAACGGATACCATTGCTATGAGTATCCATGCTCATTCTGCAAAATAAGATGTGACGTCATAACAATTGGGCTTTGTTGCCATTCAAAGCCATGCATTTTTACAAAATTGTTATTCCGTCATTACAATTGAAAAATGAAGTTCTTGTGTGTTTTGAATTGAAAGTAAAACTCATACAAAGATACAGCCATCTTTACCCCATGCAAGATATTACCATCTTTCATCCTAAAAAGTCACACGTGCAAGATAAGATTTACTTATGACATCACTGATTTATAAACATCATCAACATGACAACGGATACCATTGCTATGAGTATCCATACTCATTCTACAAAATAAGATGAGACGTCATAACAATTGGGCTTTGTTGCCATTCAAAGCCATGCATTTTTTACAAAATTGTTATTACGTCATTACAATCGAAAAATGAAGTTCTTGTGTGTTTTGAATTGAAAGTAAAACTTGTATTATGAGAATCCTACTCTCCTAACAGAACGCACTTGTGGTGCGTATAATAATATGAATTTATGTAATCTTCAAAGTAGATTTTTATTCGTTATGTTCTCAGTAAGTAAGACTTTTACCATCCTTCAAAGTAGGAGTCAAGAATCCGTACCTTCTTCTTTAAGCTATTCTGAATTTTGGATCCCTGCATACGGAGGATTGACTTTTACAAATACATGTTTGCCTGCCTATGTATCAGTTCATCCAAAAAACCTCCCTAGTCAAACTTTCTTACATTTTAAAAGATTTAAGGGATTTTCCCCCATTGTGTATGCAATGATAGAGTATAAATAAAAAGATGGTTACTGAGTCTTTTTTCAAAAATAATTCCCATCTGAACTGACAATAAGGGAGACAGGACCTATTTACATAAAATACAAGATATTAAAAAGAACATTATTTTTCAGGTGGGAGTATGACAACAATTACTGCAACAATGTAGTGAAAGTTACGTCACCAAATAACAAACCACCACGACTACTTGACCTCTTAGATGCTAATGTGTTTGATTACATCATCGGGAACGCAGATCGTCATCATTATGAGACATTCCTCAATCACTCAGACAGCATGGTTGTCATGTTAGATAGTGCAAAGAGGTGAGATCCCACACATTTTCACTTTACATGCATGTGAAGTAATCATTCCCACATATTTCCCACTTTAACATGCATGTGAAGTTATCATTCCCACATATTTCCCACTTTAACATGCATGTGAAGTTAAATTTTATTATGAAAAATGTCAACAAAACCATACTAAATAATGATTGGGATTTCCCTTTCCAGCTCTCATTATGTTTGAATACAGATGTACATGATTTTTGCAGATTGCTATTTTTATTTGATTTTTACTTCTTAAGCTGCATTCTAAATAAATTACATTATGAGGTTTTTTGTGACTATTTCTGATTTCAAAACTTCTTTTACAACTTATTTTACAATATCAGGCCTGTCAACTGTCCCGCAATTTGCGTATTTGTCACTCATTTGCTGAAGAATTTGAAGTCACGCCAGTTTTTTTTGCGTGACAGAAAATGTCACGCAAATACGCATTTTACCTGGTAATTGTCACGCAAAAATATTTCTGTAGAATTTTTTTCGAAATATGTTTATGATACGGTAAAAATACGAACGTCGGAAAAAACCGAACGCAATTTGTTCTGATTTGTCACGCGAAACCCATATATGTCACGCATGTTCATTGGAAATTTTCGTACCTACCCCCCCCCCCCCCCCCCCCCCCCCCCCCCCCGTTGACGATACCGCGAGCGTAGCGAGCGCGAAAAATTTGAGGTGATCAAAGTTTGGCAAAGGTGCTCAAACTTTGGCCAAAGGTGTTTAAAAGTTGGCCAAAGGTGTTCAAAATTTGGACAAAAGTGTTCAGATTTGGACTTAGGTGTCCAACATTTTGAAGTCACTCATATTAGGTGGTCCCAAGTTGACAGCCCTGCAATATGTATTTTACAACTCAGACACCTGAATATGTGTTTTGTCCCTCATAATGCATTGATCAATAATAATATTTTTGTTTCAGCTTTGGCAACCCATACCTTGATGAGCCCAGTATATTAGCCCCTCTTAGGCAGTGCTGCATGTATGTAGTGATTTATATCAACACCTTCTTGGATAAATCAATGAGAGTTGCTCATATATAAATTCTATTTCTCCATTCAAAATCAATCTCTAAATGTGTATTTTTATGCAGCTTCCAAAAACTGGCATCATGAAATATAGAAATCAATTTGTTAAATCTATAATTTTGTACTATTTTCATAAAATTGTAGACATAAAAATATATAAGTTTTAAAATTTGTGAAGTAGACTTTCAAAAAAAGTTTCATTTAGAATTGAATTATGGGGCACCCTTATTACAAAAACAGCTTTCATATAATTCCGAAATTATAAAATTCTGCAACTTGTTTTCTAAAGATTAAAAGGCATGGAGCATGATGTTGCTCATAGTACATTGTTAATTTCAGGTTGCGTAAATCAACTTGGCGTCGACTGAAGCTTCTCCAAAATGGTATCCTATCTGAAGTAATGCGAGAAATACTTTCCAAGGACCCCATAGCACCTGTACTAACTGAGCCTCATCTTATGGCAATGGATAGAAGACTAGCAACTATAGTTAATGCTGTAAATCTGTGTATTGCGAAAAATGGAGAAAAAGTTTTACAAGAAGATAGTTTTTCTAAATTACCTGAGCCTTTCTATAGGTGATGATTTAAAGCATGGCTAGTCTTTCTATTTTTAAAGGTTTATATACTAAACGTTTTTCTATATCAGATTTAATTTTTCTGGAATATAAATACTGTTAGCTGTTCAACAGATTACCGAATTCATGAGTCTACGCACAGTGATATATAATCATTTTTTTTAGTTTAGTTTATTAGTCATTGATGTGCATTCTGAGATTATTAGGTCTTTGCCATCATCATGTGGTATGTAATTCATCTCATATTGCATCAAAGTCAATGGAAAACTAACAATGTTATAGTACATCATTAGACACTTCAAACTAGGACAATATGCTAGATTGATTGAATTCAGACGAAGTTTACATTCGTTAAAACAATCTCAGGTTCACAGACCGCAGTTCAATCAAGTAAAGCAACGATAAACTTATTTTAGTAAGGACGACAAAGGAAGTTGGCAACAACATTAAATACACTAAAGGACATGTGACTGCAGAGGTTACAATAAGTCAAAAATAGTGTGCCATTTCATGAAGAAACATTGCTAATATGCATGCTCATTAATCAACATAAGGTGTTCTGATGTACTTATTGTACACCCTCCCCCCTCCCTACCCTACAATCTGTTTAAGGAAGTAGATGGCAGGTTGGTAGGGATGACTGAGGGGCATGACAGTAAGCACTGGATATTGACATGAATTTTGAGATCTGGATTTTTCTTCTTTTTTTTTTAAAACTGATAATCATATATAATATATATATCTTTTATATATATATCTTTTATTGACTCTTTAGATGTCATGACCTGACATATTAGTCATTACAAAATGAAATTTTACAAAAACTACACTACACTACACTACACTACACTAATATATACAATTTATACAAAAAACTTGTTATTTACATATGTTATAATATACTTTAGGTGTGATGCATCCAAATGTTAATCCCCAGGCAAGTTTAAGTTTTTGAATGATTTCGTAATAAAACTTCCAACTTGCTTTTGCACATATTTATCTTTTGAAGAAATTAACATAATGAATGTATTTTCAGGATCATGTTGATCAACATTAATTTTGCTAGTGATGTTGTCAAACAATATTCTTCTATTTTCTCTATGTATTTGGCATTTAATCATGAAATGAACCTCATTTTCTATTTCCCCACAAAAGTTACACAATCTTTCATATTCAGGTTTTGGCCGTGGTTTTACATGTCTACCCAGTTCTATTTGTAATTTATGTGAACTTAATCTCAGTTGTGAAATTGATTGCCTGTGATTTTTGTTTTGAAGGCTTAAATATTGTTCTCTTTCGAAAATTGTTTTGAATTTAATGTATGTTCTTAAAACTGGGTATAATTGTAAATCACACTTCCATTTCTCCTTATAATTTTGGTGCAATGTTTTAGTTAGATTCTTTTTGAATACATAGTCATCATCAACAACTTGTTCATTCCAAGTGTTTTCAAGATTACAATCTTTTAAAATATTATGAACCTTACTTGACCAAGTATTTTTAAATCCTAAACTGTACATTTCATAGTCATATAGATATGCTTTATAAAGGAGGTTATCTGGACAAAGTTGTATAAGCCGTATCCAATATTTAATAAGATTAATATCAAAGCACAAACTAAGGGGGAAACGACCCAGCTCCCCATAGACTGCTAGGGTTGCAGTTGATGTTTTCACACCAAGAATGCTTTTTAAAAAGGACAGGTGAATAGTTTCAAGTGACTTGATATGTTTTTTACTTGACCATATTTCTGAACCATACATCAAAATTGGTTGGACAAGTGAATCAAATAAATGTAAGGCAACTGATATGGGAATGTCATTAAACTTGTGATATTGTTGCTTTATTTTGAATAAAGCTTTTCTAGATTGTTCTTTAAGATAGCATATTTGTTTATCAAAATTATTTTTACTGTTGAAGATACACCCTAGATATTTGTAGTCTTCTACACATGCAATCACTTCATTATTGAATTTAAAAGTTTCATCTGATTTAGAGTTAAAAATAATAGCCTTTGTTTTAACAGTGTTGACAACAAGATGATAATTTCTGCAAAAATCAAAGAGAGAGTCTAGCATAGATTGTGCCCCAGATTTAGAGCTAGCAATTAATACTAAGTCATCAGCCCAAAGTAGATGGTTTAAAGAAACACCTTCAAACTCTATACCATGTTCTGAGGGAAGAAAATCTTTCAAGTCATCCAAAAAATGGTTGAAAAGATATGTACTGAGAACAGAGCCCTGCATAACGCCAATTCCAGTATTGTACGTTGGAGTAATGCCATCTTTAAGTTTGAGACATGATTTCGATTTTTTATACATGCTATCAATAATTTTAAACATTTTTGAACTTGGATGTATCCCTGATTTACATAATTTATAAAGAAGTGCTGTCCTGTTGACATAATCAAACGCTTTCCTAAAATCTACCATTATACAATATAGAGGCTTTTTCTGCCTCTTAAAATGTGAAATAATAGTGTTTAAAATGAACAAATTATCTGTTGTACGGTGACCAGATTTATAAGCAGATTGTAATGGGTCTTGAATATTGAGCATTTCTGCATTGAACACTAATCTTGTTTGAATGATTGTATCAAAAACATTTCCTAGACAAGCAAGTACATTGATTCCTCTGTAATTATCTGGATTGAAACGTGATCCTTGTTTGTAAAGAGTGGAGAGCATACCAATACTCCATTCTTCAGGGTAATCTCCTCTATCAAAGATAAAATTAAATAGTGCAGTAAAATCTAATGATAGAGCTTTACAATTTTTAATAATATTAGATGGTAAGCCATCAATACCTGGTGATTTATTAGCATTAATTTTATTTAAGGCATTTAGAACCTCTTTTTCATGTATAACATTGTTAAGTAAATGATCACTAATTTGTAATGAATCTGTATATGAATTATGCATGTTATATTCCAATATAAAGATTTGCATTTTCTCTAAAGCTTCATAATCAAAGAAGTCATATTTAGGTGCTTTACCAAGGTTTTTGAAAGTATCCAAAAGTACAGAGGTTGAAATTGGTATATCTCTGCTTTCATTTTTACCAGGGATTGAATGTACCATTTTCCAAAATTCTGTGGGATTATGAGCTTTAAAGTTTAATAATGATTTCAATAAGTCAGTTTGATATGCTCGTTTTTCTCTTTGCTTTGTCTGATTATATTTTTTCTGAATAATTGAAATTTCTAAGTCTGAATAATTTTCCTTAATTGCATTCCGTAATTGTTGTTTTAATCTTTTACACTCATCATTGAACAAGGGATTAACTGGGAATTTCTTTTTAGACTTTTTAAGTTGCTTTAACTGCAGAGTGCTTTCAGATGCATGATAAATAACACGTTTAAAAACATTCAACAAGCTATTTGAATCAATGTTTTGTCCCATTTTACAATAAAAATCATCTAAAATATCACTGCTAATATTGTCATGAAGAATTTCAGTAAAATTATCTTTTGCTTTAAAATCCCATTTAAAATATGAATATGGCAAAATGTTAGTTTTAACAATACATGTACAGTGAAAACTGCAAGCAATATTTGCCATTAGATAGCAGTATAGCTTATGGCTTTACATAAAATATGTCAAATATGATGAATATTTACAAAGTGATTGGATGTTAGGTAGGTAGCATCTGAGTCACCCTGTATTTAAGAAATGGCTTTTACATTACACATGTGCCAACTCTCAAAAATGCAGTGTTCTGGACTGCAACAGTAATGTTCATGTTCATGTTGTTATTGATGTTGTATGAATCAGACACATGTTATTGAAGGACAACCTTTGTATAGTATACATGAACAACCTTGCTTGTGAAAAAATGTGTTTGCTGAAGGTTTTCCTCATGAAAAAGGTTCTTTAACATGGGAGTCAATAGTATAAACATTTGGAAAAAGAAACTGAATTAACACCAGGTGTTCACTAAAGTTGTTCACTGTGACAGATTTCACTGTAGATTACTTAAAGAGTTTGCAGTGTTTCTTGTCTTGGGATTAACATACTAACATACTGTAAATAGATTTAATTTTGCAGTATTTATTATGGCAAATTTGCCATTTTCAGAACATTGGCTGTAATCATGAGTGTTAAACGACATGATGAACAATGAGAATATTTTGCTGGGTTTACAGTTTTAAACAGTGCATTATATACTACATTGAATGATACTATTTCTAGATATTTATGTATTTTGTTTTTATTATAATATTCATCGACATATATTTTGTAGATTAGACTTGTAAATAGAGATACATTTATAAACCTGTACTATATCAGGCAAAGATTGTGAATTCTGTATTTTAACTATTTATTTTTAAATACTTCTTTTTAAGATTCTTGGACTGGTACCCTAGGTGTTAAATACTAGTAATTATTTATTTTTATGATTTTCGATAGCTTTTCCTGAAGTTGCATTTTTGTTTATGACAAGCAATTTTCAAGGACATTATAACAAGACATAACTAGTGTTAGTTGTCAAGTGTTCAACTGTATAACAATGAATGAATAGGGGACTAGGTCAATAATGTTATTCCAAACTTTATTTAAAGTAAAACCTGTCTGATACAAATGCCATTGGGACCAGCCAAAAATGTTTGGACTAGTAGAAGTCAATGGGAAATAACAAAATTGGGACCAAGAAAAGGTTGGACTACAGAAGTGTTTAGATATACAGGTTTTGCTCTACTGTAATTACATTTTAAATTGACTCCCTCGCTCAAATGCAATTGTTAGTAGGTGTACATCAATACACAACTAATATAATTCGGCGCCATTTTGGCATCAAAAAAATTTGGCGCGGTTCCGGCACCGTTCCAGCACCGAAACTTTTCGACACCAAAATTTGGCACCAGACTAGTCAGACCAAGGGAAAGATCAATACCCGGTGATTTCAGCGGGAAGTGGCGTTTCGTTCAGTGGATGAGCTGCGCGCGCACGCATAAATGTGATTATCCAATATAATTATTATTGTAGGCTATGAGCACAGTGACCTACAGAGGGCGCTATCACAAACAAGTACTGCACGAACCGATAAATTCCCGGGTATTGTAACGCCCTTGGTCAGACTAGTGCCGAAATGGCACCGAAATTTGGCACCAAAACAAAGTTGAAAATCAGATTGCATTTTGGTGGTGTATATGTACTTGCATATGGTCTTCCATCAAATGTAATGAGTAAATTAACAAAGTGGCATTCTTGATTGGTTTCATGATAATTTCCTGTGCTCCACATGCTTTCTGTGGTAAAAGTGGTAAGTCCACATGACCTAGTTTATTATGGGACTCTATATGAGATCCTGTGTCATTGTTGACATTGATTTTGTATTTGTTTAAAATATATGTATAATCTGCTCAATTATTCTCTCATTGAGTTTAATAGCAAGTCTATAGATTTAATACATGGTTGCTCATTTATAACAGCATAGAAGTTCCAAGATGGAATATTTGTTGTATTTTACTCTTTAGAGATGTTTGATCAATCTTGTGTATATACAGCTGTTTCGTCAGAATCTTCCTGACATCAGGAAAGAAACGAAAACAGGCAAAATAATGGAAATTATTAAAATTTTAACATGAAAACAGATGCAAAATTCGAAAATTAACAGGTGATTTTGGTAAACAAAACTTAGCCTAGCTACAAGCCCCTGTGACCCCCCTCCCACTACTTGACTACATCCTTTTTCACACCTGTGGAAGCTCAAGGGCTTGTATTTAGACTAATCAAAACTCAGTGTGGAGGAAACGGTCTTCTGCCTGCCTTTGATATAAAACCTCTGATATTGTATTTCTATAGTTTGATTGTGTGCTGTCTTATGTGAAACAAACCATTCAGTCTCAATGTACAAAGACATTCAATGGTAAACGAGAGACAAATGAAAATCTTTTGAAGAATGGGAAATGACAAATTTCCTTGGTAAATTTTTTTCTTCTGAAAAACAGCATCTTCAAATGAATGTCTACTTTTTTAAAAATTGAGTGTATCATAGGTATAGTTTATTTATACATGTACAGTAAAATCTATATAACATGAATGCCTCTAGAATCAGCCATAAGTGTTCCAAAAGGTGTTCCCATTTCAAAGTTTCTAAAACAAGGGAGTTAATGCAAAATTAAAAAATTTGTATTTAGAGAAAGTGTTCAAATTGTGATGTGTGTTGGGATCTGAGGTGTTCAGATATAAAGGTTTTACTGTACATATGCCATATAGTACAGAGACTCCGTGTGATCGAGATTTATAGAGAACTAGACATCAACATACATTTTACATGTATTTTAGTAAACATCTGTACACTGCCAGTGGATGAACTATCATCCAGAAATAAAATAGAAAATATATTAATTTTAGTTCTGTATAATTTATTTCATATATTATGTAATAAAAGATTGTCTTACGATTCAATTAATATTCTTGAAGTAATTTCCATGTATTTGAACAGATTGGCATTTAACAAACACATTTTTTGCTGTCAATATGAACAGTAAGCAATTTTCTGCAAAGTTCTACATTTTATTGAATCACATCTCTACAAAGCGTCTTATCTTTCATTCATCCAATATAAACTAGATAACAGCAACACCAAGGCGTAGCAAACCAAATAGAATGGCCATGGCTGCTATTTTAAAATTGTCGCGAATTAACCAAATTGTCACAAGACAGTATAATATTCATACAGTATTCACATATGATATTTCAACAATATTGGTATTAATACTAGTTTTTCAGTTATAGCTAAAAACGCAAAATAACACATACAGATATTTTCAAAATGGTCCCTTACTAGCCAAAGTGTCATAGAAAAGTGTAACATGGTTCTAAGTGGTCACATATAAAATAAAACCATTTCATATCAATTTTGTGCACAGTCGTTTTTACAGAACAAGCGTGTCGCTAAAGTTTCATTTTAAATAAAATCATAATTTTTTGCACAAAACCTCCTTCAAAAATCAGTTTTTGAGATAAAAAAAAGTTTCATATATCACTTTTTGATAAAATTTGTTAAGACTTCAATAGAAACCACAAAACTGTTAAAAATTTAAGCAGGTTCTTTAAAAGTGTACATTTATGATAGTCTCTTGTATAAAGAGGAAACATATATAGATCAATAATAACAATTCCACATCTAGAATAATAAAGTATATTAAATATATATATTTTTGATTCTTTGATGCCATTTCAATGACATATTAATCAGAGTAATCAGAGTTATGACTCAACATCAATTGAATATTTAATATTAAACAATGATTTTAGATCAATGTTTTGTATAAAATCAACTTAAGTTGATACCATTTATCTACAGGCTGTAGCAAACACAATGATCCATATAGGATATTGTCCATTGGGTTTTATAACAGAGTAGTATTCACATTCAGCAATAATATTACAGCTTAGCACCTCTATTTTGATGAGTTAAACGTAGGGTCATTAACATAATCTTCCTCGATTAATCGTTGTTACCATGGATACAATGATGTCATAGTAAGAGGACAATGGACTAAAGCACCTTGTTTATAGAACATTCTTGTACAATGTAGTTACATGAGTTACACCATAGTTACACTACAGTTTCATTATAGTTACACCATAGTAACAACATAGTTACACCTGCACTTTACTAGTCTACCACATAGTCAGCTTGAAAGTGGAGCTCAATGCTCAACTTAGTATAAAACATTTACCAAAGGAAGTATTCAAAGCCCATATGTCACTCCTATGGATCACTAGATTGCTGCCAATTGGAAGCAATAGTGCTTACCAGAGTTGAATTATGGGATTGAGGTGAAGATTCTGTGACAATGTAACCACCTCCCATAGGAGTCAAGTGTCCATCAACTATCACCGGTGCAGGGTGATGCCCTTCATAGCGGGTCAATAAAGAAGCATGTGCTTGGGGAGCGAGCAGATAATGGCGGTTAGAATCCACCATAGCTTCCATAGAATGAAAAATAGTCCTTTGTTGTCCAGGAATATTAGAGACCTCATGGTTATTAGGGTTACCATCCTGCCAAGTTTTATTAGCCTCACTTTGGGTTTCTCCAGACTGAGGCTCTGTGGACTGAAAGAGAGGCTGATTAGAATAAGATCCACGAGAGTCCGAACTGGCTAGTGCATGAGAGGAATAATCCATGGGAGTCTGTGACTGAGAAAGGGGTCTTTCAATACTCTCGTTCACACTTAAGTCTTTAATATCATCAGCTGAAATTGTTGATGGTGCAATATCATCAACTGGAATGCCTATTGCATTCTGGAGAGCATATGTTGTAGCTTCAGTATCCTTGGGGACACTCTCGTCTATGACGAGACGAGGAGTTGAATTAACAGTATCATTATATTCCCGACATTTGCATGTCTGTCTCATATGCTTGAAAGTGTTTTCTTTAAAGACGGATGAGTAGTCGCACCAGGCACAGACCCATTTCTTGCCTCTGTTATGGGTCTTCTTATGAGATATTAGCGTATCTGCAATATGACATAATACATTTTTATTACACTAGTTGGATTTGTTCCTTACCTAAACACTGCATTTGATTTTAAAGACAACAAAAATAAGGCAATGAATATACAATATGATAAAATCTTCTATGGCATTACTTCTAGTCTAGCTACTGTTTCTTTAAATAAAACCAAACAGATATGTTAAAGCTATACATGTATTTTAGGTAGGAATACATTTACAGTCTTTAAATATGTCTACTTTTTTGACCAACCCTGTATCATGTGTATAAAATATAAATGCCATGAGTAATGGGACTAAAAATTGGGAGCATTTTACTTAGAATGGACTTACTTTGGGTTTTGAATTTCTTTCCACAAATGTCACATATGACATCACGGATGGTGTTGTGTTTGCAGAGTTTGTGTGTCGCCAGAGAAGTTGGCTTGAATGTCTTATATGGGCATAATTCACAACAAAGCGGGGTCATCTTGGATATGTTCAGCCCATGTATCACTAAGACATGTTCATATAATGAACGCTTTGACGGAACTATTTTAGAACATCGATCGCATGTGTATGTCGTCCAGTTGTTTTTCTCCCCATGCATCTGAGCTTTATGAAGCTGGCAGGATGTTGCAGAGGAATATTCCTTATTGCAAATATGACATTTATATTTCTTGATTGGTTCATTCGGATCTTTGGGGCTGTGAATTTTCTTTATATGGACATTCAAATGTGTTTTTGACATACTTAATCCACAAAATGGACAAAGTTCTTTCTCTTTATCTACTGGATTTGTATGCGACTGTTGGTGAATTCGGAAATTCCCCGGAACAATGGTTTTGAAATCACACTGGTCACACATCATGAGCTCAGCATAGTCTGGTAATGTTTTAGCATGTTTCTCATATAAGTGCTGGACCATTCTTAGCACCCACGCAAAACAGTTACTCGGTTGACACTTCCTCAGGTTCTTATATCTTGTAGTGTATGTACATTCGAGACATTTCAAAAATGCTGTATCTTCTTCATTCACTTCCACGTGTGCTTTTTTGATATGTTCCAAAAAAGTTAATTTATCATAAAACACAGGTTCGCTACAGAAACTACAGTTAAATGTCCCTGTATAATCGATTTCATGTTCAGAGTTTCGTTTTTTGTTGGTTTGGGTATGTTTTCTCTCAATATGACTCTTTAGGTAACATTTTATAAATGTTTCATCACAAATTGGGCATGGGACCCTCTTGTCTTCAGATGGAGGATCGTGAGATGTCATATGGACTTTTAGGTACCCGGGAATAATGGTTTTGAAATCACACTGATCACAAATGGAGTACTCAGCAAATGCGGGCAGTTCAGTGTTATGTTTTACGTGCATATGCTGTATCATCCGCAACACCCAGCAGAAAGAATTACTTGGTTGGATTTTGAAAAAGTTTTTGTACTTCAGAGAATAATCACATGATTTATCCATGCATTCAAGCATCCCTATGTCATCTTGTATGGTCACATGACTCTCTTTAATGTGATTTATAAAGTCAAGTTTATTGCCAAATGAATCTTCACAGAATGTGCAATCAAAGTTACCCTCATAATTTATTCCAGAGTATTTTCTTTTATGCTTGATTCCTCCAGGGGTGAGTGTTCTGTGGCGCAGTTTCCTTGGTTGACTGACGAGTATTTCCATTTCATGAAGAGTGGTCATGTGATTTCCCATTTTTGACATCCAAGCAAACAGATCACTGATGGGAGATTCTTTATAGTTATCCAATAACTCTGTGACATCACAATATGTGCATTTTAGTTTGGCTTGGCCATCTTCATTAACATCTGCATGCTTATCTTCTAAATGCTCCATCAAATGAACTTGTGATATAAATACAGGATTTGGGTCCATCTGGCATACAATACACTGATATAGCACTTCATTTTTACCCACCAACAACTCGGTTGATCCATCAACTGTGCTATCATCAATATTTTCATCACTGACCTCACTATACTCTTCATCATCAAGAAAATCATCCTGTGTTATTCGATCTTTTCTTTTTCTGCCCTTTTTCATGACCTGTGGGTTCATTGGTTTACGTCCTCTTTTGCGCTTTACTTTAACTTGAGTATATGTCTGATCTTCACTCTCCATGAGGCCTTTTGGTTCAAATTCAGTGAATACATTCTTGTCATTCTCAGCTGTTATATCAGAGTCAAACGGTTCATTCTTTATGACTGCATCCTGTTGGGAGCTCTCTCTCTCGATGATTGTGATTACAGCATTCTGGGTCCTGCAATAAGAAATCCAATGTGTTTATTTTCAAAATATTACAATGAGTACTGTCTCAACTACATAAGACTAATGTGCAATATTTATATACTGTTCTGGATAGTTTACAGGCTAACAGTTTTGCTGCCTATTAGTTTTTTCTACCTAACATCTTTGTGTATCAAGGCTCAATTTATATGCTGCCCGCAAGGGTTGCCTTTAGAGTCAATCGATGGTGTACCATTTTATTTTAAAAAAACACAATACACCATGTACACAGTGCTTAATATCCAAAGAATTTCATACCATTGAAGAATACAAACCTTCCTGGATTGAGGATTGCAACTGCTGAGTTGACAAGGCTCCTGATGAGTGACATGCCATCATTGACACTCTCTGGCGGCAACTCACTCAGAGACTGAAGGAGATCATCCACCTGAAAAACACAGAAAATGTGAGGACAATATGACAAGGCTCCTGATGAGTGACATGCCATCATTGACACTCTCTGGCGGCAACTCACTCAGAGACTGAAGGAGATCATCCACCTGAAAAACACAGAAAAATGTGAGGACAATATGACCTTGATAGATGTCTACTGATAGATCTCTGTAATTTACTGGGATTAAAATGAGTAAACGACCCTTGTCTCAATAAACAACAAGATGCATTCAAATCTGATGGCTAATGATGGTGGAAAATGTTGGTGTTATTCACTGCAAATGTCAGTAGATAATAATAATTTATAGCTAAAGTGGATAAGTTTATAACAAAATATGAAGGACAAAGAAAATGGAAGGAGTTTTACAGTACACTTTTCTAGGTCAAAGTTTGTTTTCAAATTGCAACCTAAAGGAAGCTCACTCAAATACAAATCAAGAATCGTGTGGTGGTACGTTTACTTACCTTCGTTTTTAAGGCATCCATCTTGTAGGATCCTGTTTGTAGGAGCTAATATTACACTAAAACAAGATGAAATATTGGAAAAAATTAATTTCTATTTTAACCGGAAGTAATACATTTGATAACCGAACATGCAAAAAATTGTTATTCTCATTTTTATCCGTAGTTCTGTTTACACATTTCGAACTAATATTGATATGATTCTGTCTATATATACTGAAACTTAATACTTCAACGTAAAAACTCAAAAGATTCCACGTATTCTCTATTTTTCCAAACTTGATTGCATATTTTTATCATCTATCTTTAACTGTTTAGTTTTCTGGTGCAGTAAAGATGTGTGATGATTGGTTTAAAGAGCATTATCATAAAACATGCTGCTTTTTCACCAATCAAAACAGAATATTTCTGCCTTAGATAATTCTGCATGATAAGAGCAATAAGAAATCAAAGGGCAACAACTGAATGACACGCCCATACTTATCCCATTCCCGGGAACGGGATAAGCCCATACCACTGGCGGATCTGGGGGGCCTTGGGTGGGCCCCGGAAAGAAAATCGGGCCCAATGAATATTTTGGGCCAAAAAAGGCCTTCACGTTTGGTTTTAGCGCCGGGACCAAAATTTTCTTCCGCGGACGTTTCTTTCTCTGGCCAGAAATCTGAGCCCCCCCCCTTGTTGGTTCCCAGATCCGCCCCTGCATACCAGTTAAAAAAATCAATGTGTAAACAAGAACACCTATTCATGCACTGGCAACTAAAATTTGGGCCCCAAAAAAGTTTGTCCCAAAAGTTTTGTAGGGGGGGGGGGGCTCTCTATTAGTGGGCCTTTTGGACATTTCTTGGCTTTAATTGGGCCTTGGGCCAAATAATCAAAAAGTGGGTCTTATATTTTCAAAATTAGGACCAAATCGTAAAAATTGAATGAATACATAAAACTGAACTTGAAATGGTGGACCTCCATATGTGACAACGTAATTAAAATGTGAAATCATGAATAAACTTATCTGGAAATAACATCACCAACTTCAGAAATGTCATTCTAACAATTTTAGGTATCACAATATATAACAACTGGTGTAAATTTTCAAAAGACAATATCAGTTGGAAACTATGTGACATTCGAACAACTTTCATAAGAAATGCACAATAAGTTATTCCTGCCTTATTTAAACTCATAAAAAGGAGTACACTTTGTCTGTATGGATTGAAAACATCAACTTTTGAAAAAAATATCAATATTTTTGTAAAACAATTTTGGTGAATCCTGCTTACGTAATTTATTGTATTGTTATTGTACATGTTTTATATTTGTAAAAAATAAATTAATTAAAAAAACAATGTACGCCAAAACCCCAATGCGTAGTGCCCGGGGCGTATAGTGTTGAAAAGCGAGCTTAAAATGGCTTATTAATTTTCTTAAACATGTTCTTCAGGTTCAAATCACGAAACGATTTTCAACTTTCCACAAGGCTTTATTTTAAACTTAAGACGTTTTGGATCACATCTGGATTCTATTTCAACTTATATAAATACTGAACTGAAGCGCAGCCAATTCAAAGTAATTTCCCTATGTTCTTTAGTCATATGTTCATAAATTGTTTGTGATCTCGAGCACACAAAAGAAATGTTTTTGGACACCATGTATTATGTTCGATTTTTTCAGTAGTACTTTTTGCAAGTTTTTTGTGCTTCTGTTATTTTTCTAGCATCGGCCATAGATAAATTGCACCTTTTGGCGTAAAAATCAAGGTGATTTGGGGTCGAGGGGCAATCGTTATATGATAGTCGGAAGTTTATGCCAATAAAAATGAAATTCGTAAAATATTGATAGCCTCATTGTTTCCAATACTGTAGGAAATGCAAATTAATCAGTATTGCTCTGTTTAGTAGATAGTACTCATTTAACAGATTGAATTCTCTTTCCAACCGCTTTATTTCTTGAAAATCCATTTTAGTTAATTTTGGTGCATGTTCCGTAATGCTTATGTAAACGGAGGTACCAGAATTATAATGATAAACCTCTCCCAATTTTAGATATCGTTTTTTTAGTTTCCCCTACCCCCGAATTTTCAATTTCACTAATTCAATTTAATTATATTCCGTTGTGATTGCTAGCGAAAATTACGAACCGAAATTATATTGAAATATAATAAGTCAGTATCTATTATCTTACTAAATCACTAATTGTTATTGTTATTTGTAGTACTTCTTGAAATATGAATGTTAAAGACAAAAACAAGTTGGATTTGAAATTGTTGATTATTCAGTTCCACGTTCCATCGATTTCAATGAGTTTTCGTGATGCCTGCTATCTTTGAAAGTTAAAAACTTCAGTTCTAGGAAAGCAAGTAGCCTAATTTTTATTTCATTTGAAAGTTCATAGATTGTTATTTTAGGAAATAAAGCATTTAAGCATCAATTTGAAAAGAAATTAACAATTTATCACAAAATGTCTTGTTTTCTATTGATCATACTAGTTTCTTTAATCTGTATTGTTGAGATTTAAAAGATAGGCTTTCCATGGTGATTTTATATGATGAAAAACATTCGAACGTTTTAAGCAAAACTTAAGTTTTACGAGTTTTCGTTGTTATTAAAGATTTGACACTATTATTTTCATATTTTTGGCGTAGTGTTGAATTTACACCTTCCTACGCCAATGTGATCATTATATGAAACGGGTCACTTCTAATAACTTGCATCCTTCAAGACGGCCTCGCTCTTGCCCCAAATGGACTAAATCAAAATACCCTAAAAGATGTCAAAATACCATTGGAGCGTCCAAGGATGAACAACTGGGTAAAATCATCATGACGTGTTATTGTTCTCATTTAATGTCATTTCTATCAGAATAAAATTGGTCTTCCACGACTGAGAAATCAAATCTAACTTTTGTTTATACTTAATAAATTGATGTCAACGCGATTTTGCTTGTGTCATGAATGAGATCGATCTTCTAATAATTAAGATATGAACCATCACATGTTTTCAGATGACAGCACTGTTTAAAATAGTCTTGCTCAAAGACTGTATCCACCCTCCCCCCCGTCACATTCACTCTCTTTACCTGGCAATATACAGAGAGAGTTTGCCAAGAGAGAAGGATAAAGGGGGGGGGGGGGTACAGGGTCTTTTAAGCAAGACTATGTTTAAAATGGACTCTTTTTATCTTGTTTACATGTACTTGCACTATTGTCAAAAACAATAAATCAATATTCCAATGTAACATTGTAACATATAACAGTTTATGAAATTAGATTTATAGTCCCATCATACTGCCCATCTTGTGGGTAGAGGGTCACAACCTTACAACTATTGCTGTTCCCCGGGGCTGTTCCTTACCATGCTTAATTAATACTGGGGAAAATATGATTGGCATCAAAACTTCAAAACACTTTGGCAATTGGTCATTTTAATGTTTTACCAGAATAAAACTGAGAGCTCATGCATTTTGAAATATGGCTTTGAAAAGATGTCAAAGGGATCCAACTGAACAGAAGGACAACGTTACAGCATTTTGACGGAGTGTGTTAATGCCCTAGGGTGAAGATATTTTTTAATTTTAATTGGACTTCACTTCTTCATCCTTTAACGTCATTCTTACTTCAATGAAATTAGTCTTCTTATAAATGAGAAACCAAACATTATGTGTTGTACCTTAAAATTACCCGGTTTTTCTACACTGTAGATCCTACAGCTAGTAGTTGGAGGATTTGGCACAATGAAGTACCTGGTTCGCCAAAAACTAATGTCTAAACAGATCAAATATTTAAAGGAACAAAATGCATTAAATGAAGCCTCACTTTTGATCTTCATAGTATTTTCAATGTATTAATAAGTACCTGATTTTTCATTTGACACCAAAAACAGAGCTCAAACAGATCAGAGTTGACACTAGATCATGAAAAAATATTTTCGATCTATAAATTTATACAATGTAAAGTTTTTAGCAATGCCATTGAAAGATGGCATTGTTGATTGCATTAATTATCCCGCATTCATTTTTATAGGATTTTCAACCATACGTCATCTTTTAATCCAAGATTTAATTAAAACATACACTTTGTGAAAAGTGGTAATTCACTTCTTATCTCTGAACTTCAAATGCTGTTTTCTATGTGAGTAATTTTTGTTTCACTTCAGTATTGACCCAAATTAAAGTTTTTATCATATTTGATTGAGTGTTTGAGTAACATGTCTCAAATAATATTTTGTCCCTTTTGCTTCAAAAACAGGCACATGGCCTGTTTAATATATGTTTATTAATTATAAAAACGCACATCTCATATGGTACAATGTACAGCTGTTTATATAAATAATTCAAAATACTTCAATAGAAAATAGTTTATAATATTTATAAACTTTGCCAGTTATCTATAAAATGTCATGCTACAAGGCATCTGTAGCACAATTCTGCAAATATTGCTTCAATTTCAATGTATTATTATCCAGAAAGAATATTGGAATATGATTGATAAATTACATTCTTCAAACATTCAGTGAGTAAATGATCTATAAATGATTTTATTGATAAAAATAAGTTCTCCCATCATGTAAGACTTGAACCCTCGTCCTTCCTATAATATAATACCAGAAGCCAAAATGGTCAGACTAGTGAATGCTTCCACATTGGACAGAAGGATATTCCTCCATTAAATAAGTAATTATAAGTATTTTTCAAAGTGAAGACTTATTCTTGGAAAGCAATTGGTATCCCTCAATTCATATCAGTTAGTTTTTGTCAAGGTTTTGCCCATTTTCCATATCCGGGTCTTATTCCTTTAGCGTTCACAACTTCCACCACAATGTTATGTTTAAATTCATTCCATTCTCGTTTTAATTCCTGTTCTACGTATTCTTCTTTAACCTTTTCTGTATTGAGATCTCCAAATGTTTGAGTACTTGATTGTTGCATCAGAGTGATTGTGACATCATCCAAATCTGGAAATGAGATCAAAACATTGTTATTTGATTGTGCATTGTGTTTAAAATCACAATCATTTCTCCTTTGAATTACTGGTTCTTCAAATCAGCTGAACCTACATATACAATAATTACTGTAATTTTTGTAACTTTCAAAAAACATGTAAGGAAATTTTAACAAATTTGTCATGAAGATGAAATTGAGATGTTTTTATTAAATTCCAAACTCACCTTTAATCTGTTCTGGTTCTATTATCCCCATTTCAACATTAGTTCCAGTTACAATTGTGCATTTCATTGGGTCAGATGTTAACACACTGATTTCACCAAAACTTTGAGATTCGTGTAATTTTCCCATCACAACTTGTTTCAACTTTCTTTCTTTACTGCCATTAGGTAATGTGTGCATGACCTCAACTTGCTGAAGGGCGTGGCATTCACCTGATTTCACAATGGCGATAAATGGTGAAACATATCCCTCGCTAACCAAAACTGAAAAATAAATATTCAAAAATTAGACACAATGAAGGAATCGAATGATCAAAATAAGATCATTTTCTGAATTCTTGGTTTTCTTACTATATGCATTGCACGACCCTTGTAATAGGTCAAGGTCATTTGAAAGATCTTAACCAAATGTGGAATTACAGTCAACTGGGAATCAATATTTGATTTTGACATTGATGGTCAATGACTGCGATTACTCAACATGACCCAAAACGTAAATAACCTGGACCAAACCTGGTCCTCATCAACAACTGACTCACACCTACAGTAAGACCTATAAGTGGAACACCTTTGGTACCTAAAATAGTGTTCCACATAGGAGGTTGCTTTTACATTAAGATAACAGGTACCAGAATGTTGAAGTGTTCCACTTACAGAGATGTTTCACTAATAATTTCAACTGGACAGGTTTTCAGCGCTTGCATTAGGTTAGAAAATTTGTGAGTCCCAAGGACGCAATTTTAAAAAAAAAGTGTGTCCTTTGAAAAAAAGTGTGTCCCCTATTTCTAGCCTGTTTTGAGGTATAACTTTATTTTAAAAGCATTTTTTACTAAAACACCTTTCAGTTTTTGATTTCTTGCCGTGAATTAAAACGGAAGTAAGCGTTAAGTACGGACTGAATAAATGCATGTTCGTTCATTCGACAATGATCATGAATACATTTTATTTCATGAATAACCTAATATTTGTTTCTGAATAGGAAAAACTGTGGCGTGTCATGGTTTCAAATCTAAAAATAAACAAAGTCGAAAAAATTCGAGAGAATCATGATTATTTGTAAATATTCAACATGTTGAGCCTTATTTACAATTCAAATAAAGGTGAGAGATCATAATTATTTGTTTTTGTTAGGTATCGTTGTAAACACATTGTAGTATTGACCTAAAAATTTGCCTCCAAAAAACGGAAATATTTTCAATTTTTGCGTCCTCCAAATTATTTTTGAGTCCTTAACATGTACGGGACGCCGTTAATGCAAGCCCTGAGTTTTACTGTACTTCATGTAGTGTACCTGTATTTGCTGGGAAGTCCTGCCATCTCACCAAGTTGGCCACCTTCACCAAGGGCTGTCGTGGCCACATTTTGTAGTTCTCACAAGAGAGTAAGAGATTAACCTTTTCTGTCTGGCCACGTTGCTTGATTTGCTGGAAGACAAATTGTATTGAGTTGTTGTTACCATGTATATTATTGTATTATATTTAAGTGTATTGTATTATATTATTGCCTTGAAGTACATATGGAAATTACATTAGACTTTACTACTTTATTGTATGACATTGTAATTGGCTTACAATTGTATTTTTATTTTATTGTATTTCATAGCAATTAATGTACTGTATTGTACTTCACTTCACTCCACTGCTCTGTACTGTACTGTATTGTACTGTACTGTATAGCACTGCAGTGTACTATAGTGCAGTAAGTGCACTGCAATGTACTGTGCTAAATTGCAATGTACTGCATTATACTGTTCTATAAAACACTGAGCTGTACTACACTGCAATGTAATGTAATGAATTACACTTCACTTTAGTGCAGTGCACTGTACTGAACTGTACTGAACTTCATTGCATTGTGTTGCATTGAACTGTAATGTACTGTACTGAATGGAGGTGTACTGTACTTTACTGTAGTGCACTGCACTACAATATATTGTACTACAGTGCCCTGCAGTGTACTGTACTTCACTGTAGTACACTGCTCTGTGCTGTACTGTAGTACACTGTGCTGTACTGTAGTACACTGTGCTGTAGTGCACTGTTCTGTACTGTAGTGCACTGCACTATACTGTACTGTAGCGCACTGTACTGTACTGTAGTGCACTGCACTCCACTGTTCTGAATTTTACTGAAACATGATCAACAAGATATTTTACCAATATTACCAAATATTTACCTCAATAACTCGTTGATAATCAGAGGTTGAGATTTTCAGGAATTCACAGTTTTCCTCCAATGTTTGAACAGTTAGTATTCTACTATTGGGATCCCTTCCCTCTATCTTCACCAATGTGCCAAAGCAGTCCCCTACACCTAGCTGAAAACAGTTGAAATTCTGATTACTATGGATGTATATTTAGTAGCTTTTCTTTTTAGGACAAGATTTAATATCAAAATCATTTGACATACCTGGGCATATATATAATAATAGCAAAAATCAAAGTTTTATTTTATTGACTAAATTCACATAGTCATACTGACCTTAGGTAGTCCTTCAGTCTGTGGGTCAGGTGTGGCAGAGGGTGAGATGAAATCTTCTTCAGGGTCCCCTATCATCCTGACCCAGGGAAAGCCCTGGGGTGCACAGGACCCACGTAAAATAAGATGGAACCCTGTGTTGCCAAACACTGGAAGTACAGGTTTGGTTTGAAGCTATTTGAAGATTAAAAATAATTGTCAATCGGATGCACATTATTTTCTTCTTATCTGGTTTAGACTTGGATTAACTAAAAATAGTATTGCTTCAAGACCCTGGACACTCACCCCCTTAACAACTATGGTAGATCAAATAAGGGTAGGGGGTCTAGTGTCTTAAACTAAAATTTGAGTGTTATGATTAAATACAGTTTGGGAAATAACATTTGGGAAATTTTAAATAAATACAAATCCATCTCAAAATTTCAACCTGTGAAGTCCTGCTCCTTCCAAGTATCTATGGTTGCAACTACACAAAGCTCCTTCAGGACATTATCAGACACCTGGGTGCTAAGGAGACGGAATGTACGCAGGATTTTATATATTTGATTGTTCTCAGCTGCTGTTCTTTGAAATGATCTGCAGTAGAAATAATTATATGCAATAGAAAAAGAAAAAAGGTAAATAATTGTACATGTACTGTTAACAAAGGTGTGAACTATGTATTAGTAAATAAATAAATAAATTTGTCTTAATCCTGTACAATCAAGGTGTTCCATTGACACATTTTTGCTACAAAAGTATTGACCCTGAAACTTATTCCTTAAAATAATTCACATAATTTTCATTCCAATTGCTCTTTATTAATTGAAATCCAATCTTCATAAATTATGCTTAAAAATGTTTAAAACGGATCAATGCTTACCTATTGTATGTCCAAATTGAGAAAAAATGTTTTGAATTCAAACCCATTTTAGAGTCTGTGGAAGAGAAAAAGGTTACATGAATCAAACTTACAGTTTTCTTAGTATTTTCCTTAGTGTTTTGATTTGCTCTGCTCTGACAATTCTCTCATTTTCACTCTTGCGTTGTTTATGCAGTAGAGATAGATGGTCTCTTATGTCATGGGATATCTCATCCACAGGGTTGGTCTTTTTCACTGGTCTCTCAAACTCAGAGTCAGTTTTGTCACCTAAAAAATGTGTTCATGTGTAAGATGGAAAAAACAGAATGGAAGGGATGGAGTAGTAACCAGGCCCGTAGCCAGGGGGGTTTGCGGGGTTCGGGCAAACCCCGCCCCGGCCAAAAATTCTTTCAAAATCATGCAGTTCTTCATGATTTTGAGCACTTTTCAAGTGATTTTAGCCATATTTGGGCCAAAATTGTCAAATGTGAACCACCCTGGAAATATTTGAAAACTGAACCCCCCTTGGCAAATCCTGGCTATGGGCCTGGTAAGGATAAAGGAGATGCTAGGTAAGGGGTAGCATTGATTTGATTGGGTTCTCCTTTCGCAGAAAATAGGGTATAGTTGATGTTGCTTTGTCAATGTGGTATCACATTACCTCACTGTAATAGAGCCTATTACAGTTTAGTTTAAAATAGTGTAACGTTTTTCCCGGCAGTCAGGAATGCGGGGAAAATGCGGGGAAGATGGACCCTCCCGCGTGTTACTTAATTGCGGGATTATACGGAGCGGCGTTGACTCCGCTCGCTACAGTCGCCTGAGATGTTACTCCAAGGGAATGCAAGGGGAAAGAAAGTATTACGCAATCTGGGTTTGCACTACACAAGTTCCCTCTGGAACTCACTACAATACAACAATGAACATTCAAGTACAGAATAAAAGTAAAGTTATATATTTGCTCTTTATGAGCCAAACAATGGTTTAGAAACAATATAAAATTATGTACAAAGTCGGGTTCAAACTACCCTAAACTATATAATCACTAATGCCTTAAGGCAGAAAAACATGTGATGTCACTTGAATGTCTTTAAGTTACTATAAGAAAGTAAGATCAAAAGAGGATATCACTTTGATAAGTTCCAGCAAAAGATAAAGGTTGATATCACTTGAATGTCTCTAAAGTCGCCACATAAAATAATCATGAGCTCATATTAAACAATCACTATAACATTAGATGTCTTTGTTTGTGTCTTCTTCAGTAATTGTGAGATGCACCTCTTGTCTTTGTATTCCGTTGTCTGTCCTGAAATAAAATTGCGCTCCTGGCCACGGGACTCAACTGTCAACTAATCACGTTTATTAATGTGCAACCTCGTGCAAGTATCCTTAAATTCCTTTATCCAAGTTGCAATCGGTTGCAACGGTCCTACTCAATGGATGCAAACGCCTTGATCATAGGTGCAATGTTTCTGTGTGCCCCTGTTCCTAACCAGGGTGCAACTCCTCTATATGTCCTTGTTCCTTAACCAAGGTGCATCTTGCCCCTGTCCCTTAACCAGGGTGCAAGTCCTTTATGTGCCCTTGTTCCTTAACCAAGGTGCACCTTGCCCCTGTCCCTTAACCAGGGTGCAAGTCCTTTATATGCCCTTGTTCCTAACCAAGGTGCATCTTGCCCCGGATCCTTAACCAGGGTACAAGTCCTTTATATTCTCTTATTATCCTTTGCACCTATGTCCAATTTGCAATCCCTTTATATGCCCTTGTTCCTTAACCAAGGTGCATCTTGCCCCTGTTCCTTAACCAGGGTGCAAGTCTTCTATATTCCATTATCCAAGTTGCAATCAGGTGCAAACGTCCTTAAATCCTTTATCCAAGTTATAATCACGTGCAAATGTCCTTAAATCCTTTATCCAAGTTATAATCACGTGCAAATGTCCTTAAATCCTTTATCCAAGTTATAATCACGTGCAAATGTCCTTAAATCCTTAATCCGAGGTGCAACCTGGTGCAAGTATCCTTAAATCCTTAATCCGAGGTGCAACCGGGTGCAAATGTCCCATATGGGTGCAATCGGGTGCAAATATACTTAATCATAGGTGCAATGTCTCTGTGTGCCCCTGTTCCTAACCAGGGTGCAATTCCTCTATATGCCCTTGTTCCTTAACCAAGGTGCATCTTGCCCCTGTTCCTTAACCAGGGTGCAAGTCCTTTTATGTGCCCTTGTTCCTTAACCAAGGTGCACCTTGCCCCTGTCCCTTAACCAGGGTGCAAGTCCTTTAAATCTCTTATTATACTTTGCACCTATGTCCAGGTTGCAATCATGGGTACAAATGCCCCTTGCACCAATATGGGGTTGCAAGTTGGGTGCAACTCTCCAAAATATCCTTTACACCTAATTCAGATGGTTATTATGGATGCAAATATCCCTTGCACCGATATGGGGTTGCAAGTTGGGTGCAACTCTCCCAAATGACCTTCACACCTGGTGCAAATATTCCTTGCACCAATATGGGGTTGCAAAGTTGGTTGCAACTCTCCAAAATATCCTTCCGTTGATTATCTTGGGTGCAAATATCCCTTGCACCAATCTGGGGTTGCAAAGTCGGGTGCAACTCTCCCAAATCTCCTGGGGTTGCAAGATTGAGTGCAACTCTCCCAAAAATTCCTTCACACCTATTCCAGGTGGTTGATATGGGTGCAAATGTTCCTTGCACCGATATGGGGTTGCAAAGTTGGTTTGCAACTCTTCCAAATGTCCTTCAATTAGTTACTATTGGGTGCAAATATTCCTTGCACCGATATGGGGTATGCGCAATTACTTGCAACTCTCCCAAAGTCCTTCTGTTGATTACTATAAGTGCAAATATCCCTTGCACCTATATGGGGTTGCAAATTGGGTTGCAACTCTCCCAAATATCCTTCACACCTATTCCAGGTGGTTGATATGGGTGCAAATGTTCCTTGCACCGATATGGGGTTGCAAGTTGGGTGCAACTCTCCCAAATGACCTTCACACCTGGTGCAAATATTCCTTGCACCAATATGGGGTTGCAAAGTTGGTTGCAACTCTCCAAAATATCCTTCCGTTGATTATCTTGGGTGCAAATATCCCTTGCACCAATCTGGGGTTGCAAAGTCGGGTGCAACTCTCCCAAATATCCTTCACACCTATTCAAGGTGGTTGTTATGGGTGCAAATATCCCTTGCACCTATATGGGGTTGCAAATTGGGTTGCAACTCTCCCAAATATCCTTCACACCTATTCCAGGTAGTTGATATGGGTGCAAATGTTCCTTGCACCGATATGGGGTTGCAAAGTTGGTTGCAACTCTCCCAAATGTCCTTGAATTGAGTATGGGGTTGCAAAGTTGGGTGCAACTCTCCCAAATAACAATACAATGTTGAGTAAAAAGAATGAATAAAAATACACACACAATCTCTATACAATCCGATATGACTCTCTAAATTAATGTTCAAAATGTCCAGACTAAAAAATGGACAAACTGTGATGATATTTGATCGACAATCTTTCGTCAATTACTCAACAAAATATTCTTACTTACGACCCCGTGGTTGTTCCAGTCTGTAAATCCGTTAATTATTTGTCGCACAACAACTTGACAAACTGGTCAAATTCCTTTTATATGCCCCGCGCGGACGTTTTGGACTGCATAATTCTGATTGGTTAATACCGCCAAAAAACTAGGTTAGTATGCCAATGAGTCTCCGCAATGGGCGATAATATGAAATTGCCATGGATGGTCATGTCACTAAAATGCTAAAAACGTGATCAATTAACTCGAAAATGATTAAAAATCAAAGTTCCTATGAAAGATTACATGCCAATAATTGATCCGCCACTCGCCTAAACTCACCAGTTCCACTGAAATTCCTGTAAAATGGCTTCGTTTTCCGATTTCGAAAGAAAAATTACATTGACTTCCTTATTTCCGGAATTTCTTATCAAAACCGGTAATGGTGAAACGAAAACACAATAATCAATTTTCATCACAATAGTTTATTTAAGTGTCACACGTATACAATTTACACTAAAAAACAATTAAAATATACATACACATGTAGAGGTAAAAGAATAATATGTACACGTCCAGCCGTTGCCGACTTATGAGACACTGAATAAAATTTACAATAAAAATAATTTACGTCGTTTAAACATACAATATACTAGCTTTGCTAGCATGTAAACATTGCAATCACACATAATTAAACAATATTTTGCTAAATTTGTTGAATTTTCAAAAGAAGGATGCAATGATGACATGTAAGTGAAAACATCATATCTTAAATCATTATACAATGGACAATCTATTAGAAAGTGTATTTCATTTTCAACTTCCTGCATATCACACATTAAACAAATTCTGTCATGAAGGTCTAATTTGGGATTATATCTTCCAGTTTCTACCCTCAGAGGTAATACACCACACCTAAGTTTTGCCAGAGCTTGTCTGTAAATCCTAGGTAAATACATCTCAACATATTCCTCGGTATGAAAACAAGATTTATGGAGTCTATAACTTCTAAGTTTATTACCATTTTCTTTGTTTTTATTGTCATTCCATAAGTTTATATGCCAATCAATTTGATGTTTATCGATAAGTTTCTTTTGAAAACTTTTAATCTTGGCCTTAGTACTATGGATTTGTGTACATTCTTTATCAGTGAAATATGTTAAGCCATTTTGATCAAAAATCTTAATGACCTGGTATTCCCAGGATTTTCTTACATTTTTGGACCAAGTAAATATCTTTTTAGTAACACGGGAATTATTCATATTTGTAAATCTACACCACTGACGAAAGGTTTCCTTAAGTTGAACGCTATAAAATGAAGGCCATCCAATATCGCCATTTACAGCATCATTTGGTGTGTACTTTCCAACACCTAGGAAGAAACGGGCTGCCTTATTTTGAACATTATTTAGCAGTCCACGTGGTTTATCTCCCCAAATACCAGATCCATATGTCATAATTGGTAAAACAAGTGAATTATAGAGTTTTGTGAAAACATCAAAGGTAAAACCTCCCTTATGGTAAAATTTAGCAATAATGACTCCAAGAGCTCTGCTAGCAGAGGCTGCTAATGTTTCAATTGCCTTTTTAAAAGTAAGGTGCTCATCTAAATACAAACCTAGGTATTGGTATTCATTTACAGAGGATATTGTGTTCAATCCACAGAGAAAAACAAATTTTGATTGTACAATATTTTTGGGGCGAAAATGTAAAACCTGGGTTTTTTCAGTATTGATTTGAATTCGCCAATTATTGCACCATTCATTTAATTTATCTAACATTGTCTGAAGATCAAACTCATTTGCAGCAATTAAAGCGATGTCATCAGCATATAAGAGTAAACTAATATTTTCATTCAAACCATATTTTACACCAAGACCTAAATTTTTAATCTCAGTGGCTAAAGAGTTAATATATATTGAAAAAAGACTCGGTGAAATTTTACACCCTTGTTTCACACCCTTTGAAACGGGAAACCAATTTGTTAAAGTACCATTTATTCTCACCGCACATTGCACATTTTCATAAAGTGAGACTATGGCATGATATATACGACCTTTAATGCCCATTCTATTCAATTTTACAAACAGACATTGTCTGTTAATATTATCAAAGGCTTTAGAAAAATCTACGAAACAAACAAAAGTTGACAGTTTAGATAATTGTCTGTTATGAACAATAGAATATAATGAGTAAAGATGGTCCTGGCAGCTTCGTTCCTTGCGAAAGCCGTTTTGTTCATCAACAAGTTTACCATTTTTCTCAATCCAGTCAGTCAAGCGTGAGTTTATAATGTCGCAATAAACCTTACAAGGTATCGAGATCAAGGTTATTCCGCGGCTATTTAAAGGAACTCGACGATCTTTGTTACCAGATTTTGGAATTGGGTTAATTATCCCCATGTTCCATTGTTCTGGAACAATGGAGTGAGTGAATGAGTATGCGATAATCAAATGAAGTAATGTCATACACGCCCGGTTTTTTATAACCTCAGCAGGTATTCGATCAAAACCAGCGGCTTTTCTCAGTTTAGCATTTTTTATGCTTGACATGACCTCCTGTAAAGAAATATCTTTGTTTAAATCAGGGTTTACGTCCTTGGACTCATCGGTATTCATTGAGTTGTACTCAGTTTGAATAGAGTGAAAAAACTCAGAGTTGTAATTGGGATTATCTTTTTGATTGTACAGTTTCTGAAACTCTACTTCCCATTGGTTCAAAATTGTGTTTTTATCGGTTGACATTTGACCATCACTGTCGATAACCTGCATAGGAATACTGTTTTGCCTATTTTCAGATATGCCTATTTTACCAATTTTTTTCCAGAAAGACTTTTGATCGTATTTATCATTACACATGTTCATTAATTCCATTTCTTCCTTACGTTGATAATTACGTTTATATTTTCTATTTAAACGATCAAAATACCTTCTATCTTGACAATATGTGGCTTTCAAGGCACGTTTTTGATATACTCCATGTTTACATTTTATATAGGCTTTTTCAGATTTACACACCTGTTCCCATGCATTATCCAATTCCTTGCACCAATATGCCTTATACATAGATTTTTTACGTTTGTTTTGACATGTGTTTAGATTTTGCAGGAAGGTTTTTATCCATTTCTTTAAGTACAAGATTTTCAAAAATACAATATGCATTATTCACATCATTTGATACATTGAGTGCGTTTTCAATAGATAGTATTGCATCATTTAAAATATCATTAAAAGCATCATTTTCCATGAAATTATTTGGAACATTCCGTACATCATACCTTTTCTTAGCATCATCAAAATGATTGTCATTTTCATATGTATATGCATCAGAAACATTACTCACATGGTTTAAAGATAATTCACATAAAAGAACTGAATGATCAGGTTGCTTATCTGGAATGCGCAAATTGAATTTATTTATAATATCACTTATGGTTAAGACAGAGAAATCTTGCCATAAATCCAATTGCTCATGAGGTACAATTATATAGTCTATAACTGACTTTCCTCTCATTGCATCAATAAAAGTAAAATTATTTGAATTACCTTTCCGACCATTCAACATTACAAAATTTGAATCAATTAAAAATTCTGTAAGCAATACACCATACGAGTTTTCGCCATAATCAAGGATGTTTCTCGGTGGGACTTCATCCACACCGGCTATGTAATCAAATACATCACCACATCTTGAATTGAAATCACCACATATTACAGTGAAACCAATATTTTGATAAATGTAGATTTTATTTAACAAATTATTATAAAAATCCTCTCCATCAATAGAACGTGTAGAGTCTTTGGGAGGCAAATAGCAACTACATAAACATATCACTGTATCTGATGTTTTGCATGAAAGCTTCATCCACAAAATTCCTTCAGACTCATCATCTAAAAGTTCAATGTTAAATATGTTAAACACTCGTTCATGGATTAAGACACCTACTCCCCCTGATCCACGTCTTGCGTTGTGATGTTGATTTGTACGGTTATTACCATACCATACATAGTTCGGAATAGTCAAAACATCATGGTATTTAAGAAATGATTCACTGATGCACATTATATCTGGATTAAGAGAGTCAATGACATCTTGACGAAATGCTGAATTATCATTTTGTTTTAAAGACCAACCGTTCACATTCCATGATGAAATTACTAGTCGGCTTCGGCGTGAATCCTAATCCTGACGGCTACGTCGACCTTCACGGGCTGTGTTGACGTTACGCGGTGCTCCTCTGGAAGTGGGAGCTGGAGATCGTGATCTCTGTCGGTTAGTTGATGTACGACCATCGGGTGTATTCTCACGATTACCACGGAACCCATCATGTCCACGGTTACGTTGACGTTGATCACGCTTGTCTACAATACGTCCGTTAATAACAATCAGGTCATCGCGTGCACACGTATTTACCAATTTACGTAGATTAGACTCGTGAGCCAGCTCGGATTTTGTTTTCGCAGGAAAGATTTTAACATCCTTATTTCGTCGAGACTGGGACAGTTTATTCTTATTTTCAAGAATAATAGACCTGTCGTCGATGGTCCTGCAGGTTACAATCACAACCTTAGAGTCATTGTTTCTGCCTAATCGTTTGGCAGATTCAATTGTAATATCTCTGAGTTTGAGATCTTCACGTAGAATTGCATTGATCTTATTTGGCAAATGTTCAGTTTGACTGTACTGTATTCCACGAATACATAGCTGACGTGAGGTAAGGTCATTGACCCCTGTATGGGGTGATTTTTTGGCTATATCATCAATACGGCTTTCAAGACCATTTACATCACTACGAATGTCCAATATATCAGATTTTAAATCATCTTCAGTTTGTTTACACACTTCCTCAGCAATTTCACGCATCTTTGATTCTTGAAAGTCCAACCGTGAAGAAATATCTCCAACTTGCTTTTGTAACGAGTTGAACATGGCGTGAATTTTGGTATACATATCTTTGATACTAATATCATCAGTGGAGGGTTCTAAATCAATATCACTCTCACTATCAGTGTCAGGTACTCGATCATTTACGGGCTTCAGAGCATCAAATCTATTGCTTACCTCTGACATATCTCTAAAGAGAACTCAATGCAAACACTTTTTGGAAACCCCATAAGCTCCATGTTATCAGAACCTCTGAATGTGAATTAGTGCTATGTTTACTAAATACAGTAAAACCTGTCTGAGTGGAACACCTTCAGTATCTCTAGATAAAAAAGTATTCCACTTGGTAGGTGTTCCACTTACAGAGGTTCATTTTACATTGAGTTTCTGGGACTTACAGAGGTGTCCCACTTACAGGCTGAGAGATGTTCCACTTACAGAGGTGTTCCACTTACAGAGGTGTCCCACTTACAGACTGAGAGGTGTTCCACTTCTAGAGGTGTTCCACTTACAGACTGAGAGGTGTTCCACTTACAGAGGTTTATTTTACTTTGAGTAAGTTGGTTTCTGGGACTGTTCCACTTACAGAGGTGTTCCACTTACAGACTGAGAGGTGTTCCACTTGCAGAGGTGTTCCACTTACAGACTGAGAGGTGTTCCACTTACAGAGGTGTCCCACTTACAGACTGAGAGGTGTTCCACTTACAGACTGAGACGCGTTCCACTTACAGAGGTGTCCCACTTACAGACTGAGAGGTGTTCCACTTACAGACTGAGAGGTGTTCAACTTACAGAGGTGTCCCACTTACAGACTGAGAGGTGTTCCACTTACAGACTGAGAGGTGTTCCACTTACAGAGGTGTTCCACTTACAGACTGAGAGGTGTTCCACTTCTAGAGGTGTTCCATATTTACAGGTTTCACTGTCAGCCATTCTAGACTGAACCCACCTATGATGTTTCACATTCATTTTCTTCATTTCCATGTTTTACTACAGTAACTGTACAATAAATCTTACCTGCTGAAACAGTAGATAAACTTGAATTAGAGTTCAGCTTTTGTGTGCTTCTCATCTCAGTATGCACAGGTAGACCCCCCTTGGCTTTAGGTTGAACAAACATACATCTGTAGTTCTCCATGAAGTGCTGGTGGGCTTCCTCACTACTCTCAGGGTTTTTCCTATGCAAAATAAATCCAAGATGTATGTCTGTATGGTGTATATTGTATGAGAAGTTCTTGTGATAACATCAAATGTGTGTAGCACCGAGATTTTAGAAAGAAATCATCAGATTTTATTGTTATAACTGAAACTAGGGAATGATGCCAAATAATGGCATAACTTGACACCATATCGTCCTTATATTAACTTTACCTCATCTATATTAACTTTACCTCATCTATATTAACTTTACCTCATCTATATTAACTTTACCTCACCTATATTCAATTTGACTCATCTATTTTTTGCCCCTGATTACAGCCTTGAAGATTTTTACATTTTGCCTTCTTTTATTTTCAGACATGTGGTTGCTTAATTCAGAACATTTAATTGGTACACTTGATAGCTTTTTTGATTTTAAGTCAAACCATATGTAATGGGCAGTCATATATATAGTCTCAATATCTTAACAATTTTATAATATCAATTGCAATATATTTACCTATCCCTTAAGCCAGGGTGACTCATCAGCCAGTCCAAGTTGGCATAGTCTATCACAGGTTGATTTGCGCTACCTGGAACTAAAAGACGAGATATATTGCATATCAGCAGGGTGAAGTGAGGCAAAAATGTCTATGCATGTTGTAACTTTTTTTGATGAATGTATTTGTAGATTTGAGATTGCATGTTTCATTGCAAGTGGATATGAGAACTATGTATTATTACCTCCGTTATTTTACATTAATGATCCTTTTTTACAAATGTGTATTTTTTGATCATCTGGGTCATGTCTGTATAAACACATGGGAACTATGGCTATTTACACTGTTCATATGATTATAGAGGAAACCACCATTGACTATGTAATGACCCATGGGCACATTTATCAGGGGAGCTGTAGTGTTACGAGCCAAATACTAGACCTGCAAGGAAGTGTGCTAAATTCAATGCCCCGTGGGGGAATCGAATCCAAGACGCTCCGCTCACAAGTCAGACGCTCTATCCCTGACCCATAAGGGCTAGTCGCTATAGCTGAGACTGTATTAGCGATTTGCTATTGAGGGTCACTACACCATCCCCTCTGAAGGACAACTTGCTATTGAGGGTAACTGCATTACATTTAATTCTTATTCTTTTATTTTTAAAATTGTAAAAAAGTTTGAAAGAAAATTTACTTTTGTGATGTTTTTTGCTGACACTTATTGCCTTTGTTTCTTCACTTTTGTCAGCATCAAGCTTCACAAGAGACATCTTCGGATAGTAAGTCTTAGACCAGACGACTGTATAACTTCATAAATATCCTCGTTGAGTTCATGTAGCAAGTAATAAGAAGACACTCCAATTTCACACCTGCGGCTGACAGGTGGTTGTTTACAATCTCCTGACAACAAATCTCGCGAGACTTAATTCAAAAATATATAATCTAAGTGCTTTACTCATTCAATAGATTATTAAATGGCATATTAATTAAGTTCACTACAGGGACTTTTGATTTTTTGGTCGAATTATTCACATAAACCTCTCATATGTGAAAATAATACCTGGATCACGTGACTAATTATCGAGATTTCATAATGTCGAGAATGTAAACACGATTGATTTTAGAAATCACATCTTGCGATTTATTTGCCGATATATTGGATTTAACGTGATTGTTTCTGCTCGTAGATGTTGAACAACTTATATGTCACAAATCTGGAATAAGTTGTAGGGCTGCGAGTGGAGGTAAGTTGAGGAATATGTCATTGAATATTTGATGGGAATTTTTTCCTAATTTTCGCATGGTTTCTAAAACAGAGCTGATGAGTGTTCATGGGATTGGGATGTTATTACTTTCTCCTTCCTTCCTTGTCATAATGTGAATGACATGCTTTACTTTGTAGCTAGACTAGTTTATTTCCTAACATAGTATTTACACATGTTTTTATCACAGGGCTTGGCTGGGGTGTCGGGCAATCCGATAAGTGTCAGGGGCGGATCTGGGAACCAACAAGGGGGGGGGGGCCCAAATTTCAGGTCAGAGAAAAAAAAATGTTGGGCCCCTAAAACGCAAAAGTGGGCCCAAATTTTGAAATTTTGAGGCCCATTTTCTTCAAAATTTGGCCTGAATTTAAAAATAAGGCCTTAAAAGGCCCAGTAATGACCAAAAAGGCCGACTTTTGGGCCCAATTTTTTTTTCTGGGCCCACCCAAGGGGGGGGGGGGGGGGGGGGCCCGGGCCCCCAGGCCCCCCCCCCTAATCCGCCAGTGAGTGTTTACTTTTATAAAGCATTCAAGGGAGACCAATGTTGATGCTTCCTGAAAATTGTACAAAAAGGTTGTTAGATATATCTTGTAAAAATATACGGAATCCTTTCAATAATCAACACGCTGATTCAAACAACCCAACAGTACACGTTTACCCAAAATGGTGGCAATCCAATTACTTGCTGAGAAATCTGAAGAATATGTGAAGAATTGATTAATGTCAAAATGCCGACAATTTTTACCTCAAAATGATGAGCTCTAGGGTCGATTTCTCCCTCAGGACACGTCCACTGTTAAAAATTGGTAGTTCCTAGAGTTTTTTTTCCTAAGGTTCATTCCCGTATATTATTTTTAACGAAGGACAGCCTATAACGACTGCTATACACAAAAAGATGCATGAAATTATCATTTCTAAACTAGAATTGTTCACTCGGGGCAATCAGTGTGAGTTTCCATTTTTTGGTTCGATTTTTTGCACAGGTGTATTCAATTCAGCAATTAGATTAGTTCAATTTTTTTTAGATAGATGTCACTTGTGTTCATTATTTCACAGCAGTCCCTTCCCATAATGCACCTAATATTGTGGGAATATTTTCCTCTCAAGCACCTACTCCATTTTGCAAGTGCAGTAGGTGCTTGAGAGGTTCTTCCATGAAAGATTCTTGGTGAGGCAATATACATGTAGTTTCTATATATGGGCATCAAAAGCCAACACATAGCCTTCAAGCGCATATTAAATGATTTCAGTCGATATCACAAAATTTGGTTTCACAGATCAAGAGCTCACATAAGAATAACATTCATAAGACAAAACAGTGTAAATATAAAGATTGATCTATTCATAACCTTCATGTATATAATCATTACCAATGTATGTACATACATATATCGAGTCATTATATCAGAATTATTAGATGGATCAAATTTCTATCATTCTCTAATTTCTAAAAGAAAATTATTTCCCCATTTTCATTATTCAAAAGCAATTCAAAACACAAGGTGATTAATAACACATAAGCATTACGCTGACCAATATTTGACATGGTATGAATACTATACATATATACAGGAGCTTTACAATAACAAACACATTGTACTGACCAATATCTGACATATCATGAACACTATACATATATACAGGAGCTTTACAATAGCATACATATTACACTGACCAATATCTGACATATTATGAAGACTATACATATATACAGGAGCTTTACAATAACATACACATTACACTGACCAATATTTGACATATTATGAATACTATACATATATACAAGAGCTTTACAAAAACATACACATTGTACTGACCAATATCTGGCATATTATGAACACTATACATATATACAGGAGCTTTACAATAACATACACATTACACTGACCAATATCTGACATATTATGAACACTATACATATATACAGGAGCTTTACAATAACATACACATTACACTGACCAATATCTGACATATTATGAACACTATACATATATACAGGAGCTTTACAATAACATACACATTACACTGACCAATATCTGACATATTATGAACACTATACATATATACATGAGCTTTACAATAACATACACATTACACTGACCAATATCTGACATATTATGAACACTATACATATATACAGGAGCTTTACAATAACATACACATTACACTGACCAATATCTGATATATTATGAACACTGTACATATATACAGGAGCTTTACAATAACATACACATTACACTGACCAATATCTGACATATTATGAACACTATACATATATACAGGAGCTTTACAATAGCATACATATTACACTGACCAATATCTGACATATTATGAACACTATACATATATACAGGAGCTTTACAATAGCATACATATTACACTGACCAATATCTGACATATTATGAAGACTATACATATATACAGGAGCTTTACAATAACATACACATTACACTGACCAATATCTGACATATTATGAACACTATACATATATACATGAGCTTTACAATAACATACACATTACACTGACCAATATCTGACATATTATGAACACTATACATATATACAGGAGCTTTACAATAACATACACATTACAATGACCAATATCTGACATATTATGAAGACTACACATATATACAGGAGCTTTACAATAACATACACATTACACTGACCAATATCTGACATATTATGAACACTATACATATATACAGGAGCTTTACAATAACATACACATTACAATGACCAATATCTGACATATCATGAACACTATATATATATACAGGAGCTTTACAATAACATACACATTACACTGACCAATATCTGATATGTTATAAACACTATACATATATACAGGAGCTTTACAATAACATACACATTACGCTGACCAATATCTGACATATTATGAACACTATACATATATACAGGAGCTTTACAATAACATACACATTACACTGACCAATATCTGACATATTATGAACATTATACATATATACAGGAGCTTTACAATAACATCCATATTACACTGACCAATATCTGACATATTATGAACATTATACATATATACAGGAGCTTTACAATAGCATACACATTACACTGACCAATATCTGATATGTTATAAACACTATACATATATACAGGAGCTTTACAATAACATACACATTACGCTGACCAATATCTGATATATTATGAACACTATACATATATACAGGAGCTTTACAATAACATACACATTACACTGACCAATATCTGACATATTATGAACACTGTACATATATACAGGAGCTTTACAATAGCATATACATTACACTGGCCAATATCTGACATATTATGAACATTATACATATATACATGAGCTTTACAATAACATACACATTACACTGACCAATATCTGACATATTATGAACATTATACATATATACAGGAGCTTTACAATAACATCCATATTACACTGACCAATATCTGACATATTATGAACATTATACATATATACAGGAGCTTTACAATAGCATACACATTACACTGACCAATATCTGATATGTTATAAACACTATACATATATACAGGAGCTTTACAATAACATACACATTACGCTGACCAATATCTGACATATTATGAACACTATACATATATACAGGAGCTTTACAATAACATACACATTACACTGACCAATATCTGACATATTATGAACATTATACATATATACATGAGCTTTACAATAACATACACATTACACTGACCAATATCTGACATATTATGAACACTATACATATATACAGGAGCTTTACAATAACATATCATGAACACTATACATATATACATGAGCTTTACAATAACATACACATTACACTGACCAATATCTGACATATTATGAACACTATACATATATACAGGAGCTTTACAATAACATACACATTACACTGACCAATATCTGACATGTTATGAACACTATACATATATACAGGAGCTTTACAATAATATACACATTACACTGACCAATATCTGACATATTATGAACACTATACATATATACATGAGCTTTACAATAACATACACATTACACTGACCAATATCTGACATATTATGAACACTATACATATATACAGGAGCTTTACAATAACATACACATTACACTGACCAATATCTGAAATATTATGAACACTGTACATATATACAGGAGCTTTACAATAACATCCATATTACACTGACCAATATCTGATATATTATGAACACTATACATATATACAGGAGCTTTACAATAGCATACACATTACACTGACCAATATCTGACATATTATGAACACTATACATATATACAGGAGCTTTACAATAACATACACATTACACTGACCAATATCTGACATATTATGAAGACTATACATATATACAGGAGCTTTACAATAACATACACATTACACTGACCAATATCTGACATATTATGAACACTATACATATATACAGGAGCTTTACAATAACATACACATTACACTGACCAATATCTGACATATTATGAACACTGTACATATATACAGGAGCTTTACAATAACATACACATTACACTGACCAATATCTGACATATTATGAACACTGTACATATATACAGGAGCTTTACAATAACATACACATTACACTGACCAATATCTGACATATTATGAACACTGTACATATACAGGAGCTTTACAACAACACACACATTACACTGACCAATATCTGACATATCATGAACACTGTACATATATACAGGAGCTTTACAATAACATACACATTACACTGACCAATGTCTGACATATTATGAACACTATACATATATACAGGAGCTTTACAATAACATACACATTACACTGACCAATATCTGATATATTATGAACACTGTACATATATACAGGAGCTTTACAATAACAAACACATTGTACTGACCAATATCTGACATATCATGAACACTATACATATATACAGGAGCTTTACAATAACATACACATTACAATGAC